CCCCCACCTACCCTCACATCCCCTAACCCCAACCCAACTACCATCACATCCCGTAATCCCAACCGCACAACAACATCCACCCCGAAACCCTCAAATCCCCCCCCCCCGCCCCAACGACGATTATGTACTGTCTGATTCTAGCATTTTGAAAATTACAACCCGTAATTCATTATAGTAAGTTCTCGTCATCATTTTTTTATTTTAAAATGCCTAATATACTCAAATAGTACACCACTACAATAATACAGCACTGCAAAACTACAATGTCTATTTCGGGTGATGAAAGATTTTTGTGAGCTAAAAATTGGAAAAATCCGTTACAAGAAAGTTATTGGTATAAAGCCTTGACACTCGCAACTGTGCATTGGCGGTCATGCCTCCTACCTGTATTAATAGCCTTAAGACCCACCCGCGTTTACACAGCAGACTTGTTTGAACTACTGTTTCAGAACAGAACACATAAAAGAAAATATTACACACCCAACGCGCTAGCGATATTTTAAATATTTGTTTATAAAAAAGAATCCCATTAAGCGCAGCTCTCGGGAATTTTATTTCGTAAAATCAGAGTCATCGATTTCCCTCATCTTCTCCTGAAAATAAGATTTTTGTTGTTGTTGTTGTGGGCATGGGGGTGTTTGGGTTGTGGATGTTTGGGCTGAGAGTGGGGTGGGGGTGGGGCTGAAAATCTGAAAGCGCATGTTGTAATCGGAAACGAGTGTATGTGCCAAGTATCAGCTCGATAGGTTGACCGGAAGTGGGTAAATTCTCATGTCCGAAGACTTTTTTTTTGCCAGCCACGACCAGAGGCAAAGTCAATATTGTGGAGAGTTCGGACCACGACCGGCTGATCAAAGGGCCGGGCGCGTCAGATCTCGCAGCAGGGTTACCGGCCATCTGACCAGGGTATTTCCCTGGGAAGACTGGTTCGGACTGGTAGTGCGCCGACTGATCAAAGGGGTGGGCGCGAGTACAGACCTGGGAAAGGAACTCTATTGACCAGGGACTTATAAATAGGGACCTCTGGACGGGACGGACAGAACGGACTCGACCGGACAGAGAAGCGGACATAGCAGGGAGAACTCGGACGGTATGAGAAGAGGGCAGTCAGAGTTGCCAGATGAGAGAAAGTATAAGCGAAGTGTCAGTCTAATAAAGAACAAGATTATAATCATCAAAGGTTATCGCCTGAGTTGTTTCCTTAGTGAATACCAGATATAGATGAAGGTTTGCAGAGAGCAAGCAAGGTTTACATCTCACCGCTGCCACCATTGTAAGGAAAGGGGTAAGTGTTCTCCCCACCCTCCTCCAGAAAACTCATAATTTTTGCCCGCCTCCCCCAACTCGGACTTAAAGATATACAATATCAATTGCACATGTTCCGCCTAGCATGTACTCCTAGACCCCCCCTCCCCGCACACACAAGCACAAACACGCTAGTGTTTTCTAGGAGACAACGAACTCATATCAACAATCGGTAAGAATTCATATCAACAGTCGGTGAGAACTCATATCAACAGTCGGTAAGAACTCATATCATCAGTAGGTAACAACTCATATCAACAGTCGGTAAGAACTCATATCAACAGTAGGTAAGAACTCATATCAACAGTCGGTAAGAACTCATATCAACAGTCGGTAAGAACTCATATCAACAGTAGGTAAGAACTCATATCAACAGTCGGTAAGAACTCATATCAACAGTCGGTAAGAACTCATATCAACAGTCGGTGAGAACTCATATCAACAATCGGTAAGAACTCATATCATCTGTAAGAACTCATATCAACAGTCGGTAAGAACTCATATCAACAGTCGGTAAGAACTCATATCAACTGTCGGTAAGAACTCATATCAACAGTCGGTAAGAACTCATATCAACAGTCGGTAACAACTCATATCAACAGTCGGTGAGAACTCATATCAACAATCGGTAAGAACTCATATCATCTGTAAGAACTCATATCAACGGTCGGTAAGAACTCATATAAACAGTCGGTAAGAACTCATATCAACGGTCGGTAAGAACTCACGTCAACAATCGGTAAGAACTCATATCAACGGTCGGTTAGAACTCATATCAACAGTCGGTAAGAACTCATGTCAACGGTCGGTAAGAACTCATATCAACTGTCGGTAAGAACTCACATCATCAGTCGGTAAGAACTCATGTGAACGGTCGGTAAGAACTCATATCAACTCTCGGTAAGAACTCACATCAACGGTCGGTAAGAACTCACGTCAACGGTCGGTAAGAACTCATATCAACAGTCGGTAAGAATTCATATCAACAGTCGGTAAGAACTCACGTCAACGGTCGGTAAGAACTCATATCAATTGTCGGTAAGAACTCACATCAACAGTCGGTAAGAACTCACGTCAACGGTCGGTAAGAACTCATGTCAACAATCGGTAAGAACTCATGTCAACAATCGGTAAGAACTCATATCATCTGTAAGAACTCATATCAACACACAGTAAGAACTTAGAAGACACCACATATAAGTTTTCCTTATTAAAAAGTCAGGGTCCACCACAGTGACCTTTAACCCGAACCTACCCTCAGGACTAGGCGTGTCGCATGGACTCACGATGTCGTCCGCGTCATGGTCAACGTTTTTCTTAGTTTTCATCGACAGGAGCGGAGTATCTTCCAATATTGGTTTTAAGATGACATTATCGTAGTCTCGATTGTTTACTTTTGAGTCTTGCTCAGTTTGCCCTTCTGTAATTTCATCTGAAAGAGAAAATAATAATATTATTGCTGAGAGTATTTTCAATCCTAACTTCTTTGAAGAATAGTAACTGTGATAATCTATAGTCGTAATTTTAGACATGCATAACATCACCAGCACCCCCCCCCCCCGCTGAATGGGACGTGTTAATAACGATAATTGTCCCGTTTTTTCTAGATCGTACCCAGTGTCCCGAAAAAGTCCATCGGGACGCCTAAATGTCCCCTTTGTAAAACCAAACACATTTTCAAATCACAAAAAACTTCCTAATTTATAAAGTAATATTTTGGTTAGCTGTGCTGCCAGTGCTGGTAGTGATATGGGCTCGTGTGATGGCTGCACTGTCCAGCCCCCCCCCCTTCCACCACTCTGCCGACGCTGCGTCAAAGACAGTGGTCCCTGCCATATTCCCTACCATATTCCCTGCCATATTCCCTGCCATATTCCCTGCCATATTCCCTGCCATATTCCCTGCCATATTCCCTGCCATATTCCCTGCCATATTCCCTGCCATATTCCCTGCCATATTCCCTGCCATATTCCCTGCCATGTTCCCTGCCATATTCCCTGCCATATTCCCTGCCATATTCCCTGCCATATTCCCTGCCATATTCCCTGCCATATTCCCTGCCATTTTCCCTGCCATATTCCCTGCCATATTCCCTGCCATTTTCCCTGCCATATTCCCTGCCATATTCCCTGCCATATTCCCTGCCATATTCCCTGCCATATTCCCTGCCATATTCCCTGCCATATTCCCTCCCATATTCCCTGCCATATTCCCTGCCATATTCCCTGCCATATTCCCTGCAACATTGTTGTTTTCGTTGATGCTATGCCTCAGAGTTTAAATTAAATTACAAAAGTGACGGTAAATTCAAAAAAAAGATTTCTAGGTC